GTCCCGTTAGCCCACGTCCCGATTGCCCACGGTGCTTTTGCCCACGTTGCGATTGCCCACGTTGCGATTGCCCACGTTGCGATTGCCCACGAGGTGCTTTTGCCCACGTTGCAATTGCCCACGTTCCGATTGCCCACGGTGCTTTTGCCAACGTTGCGATTGCCCACGTTGCGATTGCCCACGTTGCAATTGCCTACGTTGCGATTGCCCACCTTGCGATTGCCCACGTTGCAATTGCCGATGATTTGCTTTTGCCCACGTTGCGATTTCCCACGTTCCGATTGCCCACGAGTTGCTTTTGCTTACGTTGCGATGCCCACGAGTTGCTTATGCTCACGTTGCGATTGCCCACGTTGCGATTGCTCCCGATTTACTTTTGACCACGTTGCGATTGTCCACGGTGATAATGACTACGCGTTGCTTAACCTTTAGAGGGCCGAGATTTGAGAGGGCATATCCGCCTTAGTAAAGTGGTAAAAAAGATATCTTATATCAAGGATTGACCATACACTAAGTATCGATCATGGGTAGCGCCAATATATTGGCTTTCCGGTCCGGAAGGGATCGGCCCGCATATAAAATTTCTTTCACATCAATTTGGAAATATAAATATGCGTTTCCGATGTATTTTTCGACGTAGAATCCAAATCTAATGTAAAAAATACAATAAACCTGAAAACAACCCCTACAAAATTACAAAAACTACCCTTTCTATTACGCAATTTTATTTTTTTTAGTTGGGAGTGCAGATATATGTTTTGGATGTATTTTTTGATGTAGAATCAAAATCCAATGTCAAAAACACAATACACCTGGACATAACCCCTATAATATTACAAAAACTACCCCTTTCATCACGTATGATTTCAAAACACCCTCTTCTTTTGAACACGGGCTTGAGACCGTTTGTGGCAGAATTATGTTTATTTTTTTTATTTTAATTTTTTTTTGTTTTTCTTTTTTTATTTTTTTGTTTTTTTCTTTTTTTATTTTTTTGTTTTTTTTCTTTTTTTTAATTCAATTTTATGTTGTTTTGTTTTTGTTTTTTTTGTTTATTTTTTGATTTTTTTAAAATTCTTTTATTGCTTTTTTTAATTTTATAAATTACGACAATGATTGTTTAGTGTAATACATTTCAAAACAAGGTTCATTTCATAAAGTTTTACAACATTTTTTACACTCATATGATGATGATCGACTTCACTTTTTGTGTATAGTGCATAGAACACATTGACGTGATAGCGTTTTACCATCATTTGAAGCTTGAATTTTTTTGGGGAAATGTCGTCCATTCAGTCTAAGATCAGGCGATGTAAATGATGAAACTTTTTGAGAATTTACTTGCAAAATATCTCTTACAACGCTCAATCAAAAATCAGGAAACAAAATCGCATTTTTAGTAAGCATCTTGAATAAACTGTGGGCATTTATTAACATCAAATCAAATAAATGAAAAACCAATTTTCTATACTATTTCATACATTTTTTAATAAATTTTGTCAAAGATAATTGTCAAAACCATACACTCGATACCTCGCGAGCCCGTCGTCGTGTCGTGGCCGGCAATCTCTGCGGGGATATCGGTACGCGTAGACAAAGCTCCCTGGTTGATCTTGCCAGTAGTCGTATGCTTGTCTCAAAGATTAAGCCATGCATGTCCCAGTGCATGCCGAATTAAGGTGAAACCGCAAATGGCTCAATCTAATGAACCATAAATCAGTTATGGTTCATTAGATTGTACCCACAGTTACTTGGACAACTGTGGTAATTCTAGAGCTAATACATGCAAAACAGAGTCCCGACCAGTGATGGGAGATTTTATTAGATCAAAACCAATCGGTGGCGGACGGTTTCTTGCCGCTCGTCCACCGTTCATTTTGGTAACTCTGAATAACTTTGAGCTGATCGCACGGTCCTAGCACCGGCGACGCATCTTTCAAATGTCTGCCTTATCAACTGTCGATGGTAGGTTCTGCGCCTACCATGGTTGTAACGGGTAACGGGGAATCAGGGTTTGATTTTGGAGAGGGAGCCTGAGAAACGGCTACCACATCCAAGGAAGGCAGCAGGCGCGCAAATTACCCACTCCCGGCACGGGGAGGTAGTGACAAAAAATAACGATACGGGACTCATCCGAGGCCCCGTAATCGGAATGAGTACATTTTAAATCCTTTAACGAGGATCCATTGGAGGGCAAGTCTGGTGCCAGCAGTCGCGGTAATTCCAGCTCCAATAGCGTATATTAAAGTTGTTGCGGTTAAAAAGCTCGTAGTTGAATCTGTGTCGCACACCGTCGGTTCACCACTCGCGGTGTCTAACTGGCGTGATGTGGGACGTCCTACCGGTGGGCTCAGCCTCGAGAGGGGCGGCCCAACTAATATCTCGTCGCGGTGCTCTTTACTGAGTGTCGAATCGGGCTGGTACGTTTACTTGAACTAATTAGAGTGCTTAAAGCAGGCTAGCTTNGCCTGAATACTGTGTGCATGGAATAATGGAATAGGACCTCGGTTCTATTTTGTTGGTTTTCGGAACCCCGAGGTAATGATTAATAGNGACAGATGGGGGCATTCGTATTGCGACGTTAGAGGTGAAATTCTTGGATCGTCGCAAGACGGACAGAAGCGAAAGCATTTGCAAAAAATGTTTTCATTAATCAAGAACGAAAGTTAGAAATTCGAAGGCAATCAGATACCGCCCTAGTTCTAACCATANACGATGCCAGCTAGCGATCCACCGAAGTTCCTCCGATGATTCGGCGGGCAGCTTCCGGGAAACCAAAGCTTTTGGATTCCGGGAGAAGTATGGTTGCAAAGCTGAAACTTAAAGGAATTGATGGAAGGGCACCACCAAAAGTGGAGCCTGCAGCTTAATTTGACTCAACACGGAAAACCTCACCAGGGGGGCTATTACTGTTCTCAGATCGAGTNAAAATGACGAAAGTGAGCAGCTTACCTTATTACGGTTAATCTCATCTTGTGAAAAAACGAAATTATTCACGTGAATAAACTCGACACAAAATTTCATGTCAAAAATACTGTGTCCGCATGCGTCAGCGTTATTTGTGCGAAAAAAAACTATGAGTTTGCAATCACCCAATAAACCCTGCATCATGAAAAAAGCAACAGTTATCGAAAGCAAAAAGCTACAGTTATGAAAAAAGTGCCTACAATGAATGTAATAATTTTAATGTTTCAAAGAGATTGGCAAAACACAATGGTAAGAATTCGTCGAACACTTCGCGATGTTATATTAAATAAATCTGAGATCCATTTAATATAACGGAAAGAGAATTCCGTAGTTTTTACAGGTAAATGTCATTATTTATGCTTATAAAAGTTCTTTTATTATAATTTCTATAAATATATATTTACAATATAAGTAAAGAATATAAGTAAACTTATAAGTAAATTATAAGTAAATTTATAAGTATTGTAAAATAATAATAAGTAATAATAAGTCATAAGTACATATTTTGAATTCTGTAAGAGGTTATTGATAGAAACTTTATTGACATTAATATATTTAGAGATTATATTGTTATGTAACTATATACTATGAAATTTTGTTGCAATTGTGTAAATAATAGTTCCAAATATACTGATAAAAGACAAATTGTGTTACAATGTTTGAAAGATTATCCAAGGAAAGTGTGCGGAGATTGATTGAAGATCTACGGCCACTCTTGCCTAACCCAAGACGGAGTCATGGAGTTCCTGTTGAATTAATTAGGTATTGACATAAAAAGGTTATAAATTATTACAATAATTTTCTTTTCTATTGTAAATAGAATTTATTGTGAATATGCTTTTCTATACAGGTTTTAACTACATTGAACTTTATAGCATCTGGTTCATATCAAGCCAGAGTCGGTCAACATTATTTATCCTGTTTGAGTCAGCCAACAGTTAGCAAGATTTTATCCAATGTAGTCAATGCATTAAATGGTTTAATGCAAGATTGGATTCAATTTCCAATTGAGGAAACAGAAATCCAGCACATTAAGGAAATGTGAGTTTTTGATAAATGTATAAATTTAATAAGTTTTTAATATGCCGCGACCTTGAAAGGAGACCTGAAATTAAATATAGTCACTTTTAGAAATCAACACTTAAATATTCTAAAAAATAATTTTTGGTTTAATGNTACAGGTTCTGGACTCGCACACAGTTTCCAGGCGTTATTGGCGCAGTAGATGGAACGCACATAGCAATCGTGCCTCCAAATATAGAGAGACAACATTTATATATTAATCGAAAGTTATATCATTCATTAAACGTTCTTATTGTAAGTATAAAGTGTGATGTTTATAATGCACAAACCCTATAAGCACACGATATTCTTTNAATATTAACTTAATATTCTGTGACAATTCTATAAAAAATTCATAAATATTATAATAATATTTTATAATATTACATTAAAAAAAACACATTCTATATATTGAAAAATATTGTGAAAACATTTACTAAGTATAAAATGATGTTTATATAATATTCTCAAGATATTGATATACTATTATAGAATATTATGATACTATCTTTAGATTATTATATAAATTAATTTTTTGATTGGACTAATATTTTAAAAACATTTTCATAATATTTTAAGGATACTAAAATAAAATTCCAGAGGATATTATTTGAAGTGGACATATAACTATGTATTTACACTCTAAGAATGTTTAAACAATATTATTTAATATTAAATAATATGGTTAGAATATTATGTTTAATATTCCGAAAATACTCTCAGAATATTACTTGATATTAAATAATATTATGCGTAATACAGACTTAAGGTTCGTGAAATTTAAACCAATGAATGAATATAAGGCCTTACGAGCCGTTCTCAAAGTGTTGAGTGAGAACTTATACATGTATATATATATAT